ATTATATATATAAGCTAAAATGGCAAACAATTTCAAGTATATCTCATGCTAGAAAGAAACTTACCCGCTGGATCTGCTGCAGGGTCGCCGTCTACAGAGAGTCGCAGCAGCTTCTGGTGCGGCTGCAACCGCAGCAAATCTCCTTGCTGGTCGGTGCTCTTACTGCAACTGGGAGGACCCACCTCCAGCGGCAGCCCCTTAAGTTCGAGCTTCAATCCCTTGTACGGTTGCAGGAGGGTATCCCCCTGCTCGGAGGTGTCCTCTTCTTTCTTGTTTTCCTTCTTCTTGTGTCTGTCGCGTTGCGGAGAGCTGCAGGCGCCAGATACCCCTTCGGGGGCCTCTGTCTTCACGTTCTTGAAAGAGTTGTTGCTTGTGCCCAAGACTGCATCCAGCAGATCTGCTGCAGCTTCAGATTCTGAGGAGGAACCGCTGTCGTCTGAAATCATTTGCTGCCGCTCGCGAAATAATAGTGAGGAGACGGTATAGCGGTTGGAGCCTCAACCGTTCCAACCCACGCTGTGTAACGGACTTGGGAGAAAGCAGATGATGCAGCAATGTGGAAAGTTACCTTTGTTGTTACCCCAGTTCCTGCTTTAGATGATAATGTTCCTGCTGCTGCTGGTGATACTGCTGCCGTACCTATTGCTGTTGGTGCTGTTGTTGCTGCTACTACAACCAACGCTGCTGCTTAATTGGTCAGACGCCAACCCTAACTCCGCTCTTTGTTCAGATATCACGTAGGGAAGGCATCGAAGCTCCTGCAGTTGCCTGCCGTTGGAGTTTTGATCATTCCCCGCTGTTCTGTGCGGCAACACCCAGGGGATTTATCTCCTTTTATAGTGTAACCTAAAGACAAATTAGATTCTGTGAATGTGGTCACCGGACGACAAAGAAAACCTCTTGCTCCTTCCTTCCGATGCAATGGAAGCCCCAACTCAATCTGGGAGTCGCCCCTGCAAGGGGAAGGCTCAAGGCATTTATCAGAGGTTCAATCGATATCCTAACACACCATGACCATATAATACACTCAAAATATTTATTTCCTCCCCGCTGCTTATTTCAACGCGAATTTGTCTCTGCAGCTGCGGCTGAAGACGACATCCTTCGGAGGCCAGTCGTGGGGCCCCACGCCCAACAAAAAAGAACACAAGGGGCCCCTTTTCCCTCTTCTCACCTAAGCGGATATCAAAGGGTACGAAGCGTCTTTTGGTCCGGCTGTTGCGGCAGTTGGGTGCAGAAAAGCCAGGTTCTAGCGCCGATCTCTTGCGTAGTGTGTCGCCGCTGGGTCTAACCTTCTTTTCTGCTGCCGCAGGGGGCCTCTTGGCTCCAGGGACAATGAAGGGGAAGCGGCAAAGAGGCCCCAGGGATGGCAACCAACGAAAGGGGGGTGGGCGTAAGGCGAAACGGGCGCGGGACCTCCGCAAACTCCAGGAGAAGCGCACGCGGGAGCAGCAAGGGGGTCGGCTCCTGAAACGGCCCGAGATCAAGGGTTTAGATGGAGACCCTTCCTCCAAAGTGGTGCATAAGAAGAAGGAAACTCTTCGGAAGCTGAACAACCAGCAGTCCTACTCCCCCAGAGATGCGGCCCGTTCGCAGGATGGGGACCCCCGGAACCAAAACAGGGGTGACACACTGGGGCCCCGCAAGGGCAAAACGTTCCCGAAGGGCACCGGCAAGGTACACAGCAAGAACAGGGCCTCTCAGGCAACAAGCACAGAAGGCGGACCACGCAAGCGGAAGCTGATAAACGGCCAGGAGACCCTCAGGCGTCTCCTGGAGGAACACCCTCACCTGCTGCAGTCAGGAGAAACTGCAGATGCTGCTGTTGCTGCATGCTTCAAAAAAGCAGCGATGAACCAGTCAAATGCAGAAGATGCACGCGGAGAGAGTGCACAAACTGATTGCGTCCCCTCTGTGCAAGAGGAAGGGCAGAAACTAAGCGGCAGCAAACGAAGGAAGCTGCTGCGGCTAGTGATGAACAGCAAGACAGCAGAAGACAAGGTGTTTGTACACGAGTCCTATCAGCTATACAACGATATCCTCCGGAGCATAAGACAGGCAGAGGCGATCCCGGATAAAGGGTCTGAAGGTTCAGGTGCCACCGAAGACGGGCGCAGCAGTGCGACCCTGAGGCGGTTGGTGGATAAGGCAGTAAAGTTTCTCGGGGGACCGTTAGAGCGGGTATGTGTCTGTGTCTTTTAATTTCCTTTCTTTGTTTCCGTTGGGGACCCCTGCAGCCTGCCAGCCACAATCGTGCCTGGCTGAATATACAATGCATGTACTGCATGCGATGTGCATGCGGCTGCAGAAGGACCGTCACTGCTGCACCGCACGTCTGGCCCAAGTGTGTCTCAAATACGCCGAGAAGGAGACACGACAACGCTTGTGGGACATGCTAGCAAGTGCGGTGTAGATTTAAGGGTTAGGGGTTCAGGGTTTGGCGGGGGATTAGGGTTAACCTGTACGCTGTGGAGGCTCATCGTGGGTTTAACTTAAAGACTAAGGGGGAGTGAGTTTGTTCACAGCCTGTAGGCTGCCCAACATCTATGGTTAATGTCTTAGGTGATGTTTGTTTGTTTTCAGAGGATTTTCTGGAGTTCTGTTGTTCTAAGTCCTTTCATCACGTCTGTATTAAAATGTTCCTTTATGCCACAGCAGAACAGAAGGAAAAGCTAGTGGCTCTTCTCGTCAGCCGTAAAGACACCGCCCTCACCAAGGTGCAGAGACACCTAGTTTTGTCCCCGTTTGTTCCTCATCCCATGCTGCTCTCTTCATCTGTGTCTAGATGAGGCATCCAGGGTGCTGTTATCTCTGTGTGTATGTTCGTCTTGGTTCCTGGTGCTCAGTCATATGGTGTGTGTTTGTTTCTCCCGTGCCTGCCCTCCTCGCGTTCTCAGCATGATTATGTTTGAATATTTTCTGCTCATCGTGTATCCCTGCAATTCGCGTATTCCTAATATTTCCCTGTTTCTTGTTGTGAGACGTGCGTCAGTCTGCTCGTGCCTTTCACTGGCTCTGTCTGTGTCTTATTATGGCCTGCTGGTGCTAGTAGGGTTAGGCGTTCTCCTCTCTTCACCACTTGTTTCTCTCGTGCTGCTCCTTGTCTTTCTGCTGTCCCTCTTTTTCGTGATGTCTCTCTCTGTTTCCTTCCGTAGCCACCCCTTCGACGACCTCAACAGTACCAACAGCAACTGCTGTTGCAGAAAGAACAGCAGCAGGCGTGTGTTTTCTATCTTTTGTCCTTCAGCACGGCGCATCTGTTTGGGAGTATTTTTTCACATCTCAAAAGACCGCAGTGGGGTGGGTGTCCTGGGTCGTCATGTTAAGTTGAGGAGGCACAGGGGACAAACACGGAGTGACGAAGTGGATTGCTTCTTCCATGCTGTTGAATTCCGTTGTTTTGATTATTCGTTGGGATGCTCTCCTTCCATGCAGCACAGTCTTTAATTCTGAGAGGCCTACCTCGCTCTTTCGCTCCTTCTGCAGCTCATCTCGTGGCAGTCTCGCATATTTTGAGTTGCGCTCACTATAGCCCATACACAGTAGCACAACATTGTATACTATACTATTATTATTCCGCAACAATTATTTGGTCTCATTAGTGTTACGTCCGTTTAAAAGCACCTAGTGCATCCATATTCCATGGAATATGTGCCCAACTAACTGCATGAATAGGTGGCATCATACCGCTGGGCAGCGGCAGCTGAGGTCTCAGATAAAGGCCGCCGGGGTGTTGAAACACCGCACAACGCCTTTCCCGCTGTTTGGCGCTACGCAGAGGGTGGCTCTGGGGGCACAGGCTTCTCCAGGTGATGCCGCCGCTATCGGCTGTTGTTTCCGTTGCTTTTCAGGCAGCAAAAGCTGTTGAATTGTCTTGTGCTGGAGCCCGCAGTGGTGGTGGCTGTGCCTCAAGTCCAGCACCAAACGTCGTTCGCTCAGGTGCTGGGCCTTCTGTCTGAGTTACAGCGGAGTCAAACACTCGGTACAGAAACACTCACTAATTCTGTTTTTACCTCGCTTCTGTTCCCTCCTGTCTCCTTGGACCTGTCTCGTTGTCTTCGGCTGTGCCCCCTTATCTCAGTTTGCGTATATCTGTATCTGCCGCTCTATATCTTTCCTACTATCTACTTACTCGTCACCCCTCTGTTTGTTGCCCCTCCGGCTCATTCCTTGTACAACCCCACCATCATAGAGTCCCGTTGTCTGTACACCTGGAGGGGGCTTCGGCTTGCAGCTGCAACGGGTGTTTTGGGGCTGTTGCTGTTCTTTAGAGTGCCTCAACGCCACTATTCAGAAGTTTGTAGACAAGGAGCTCCTCAACAAAGTGTACGTACACCGCATCCTCAAGGGCTATTGCAGGTGTGCCACCCCACAGCATACAAAATGCAGGGTGCTTGTTGAATTATATACAGTTTCTCTCTCTGTCTTTCCGTTTCAGCACCAGTACACTTCTTTTCCTTTACGGCCGCCTTTTTGTCTCCCTATTTTCTTTCCCCCCTCGCACATTCTTGCTTCCTCTGTGTCTTTGGCCTCTCGCTTTCCTCTCCATGTGTGCAACTCGTATCTTTCTGGTTGTTGTCTCTAGCTCATGCCTTGTTGTCTCGCTTGAGTATTGATTCCTCGGTGCCTGTTGTCTCCCCAGCGTGGCTTCGTCGGCCCAGCTGTCGGCGGTGTGGAAGACAACTTCTGAGGGTGCTCTGCAGCTAGCAACCACCAAAGACGGAGTAGAGGTATGAGCAGCAGCAGCAAGAGCAGCACAGGCAGCAACAAATAAAGGACGAAGCGTAAAGAAATGATTAGAAATAACTTGAAACAGCAACAACGCTTGCCAGTGGGAGGCATGCCCCTTAAATCTGCTTCACGCCGCAGCCACTGCACCTTTTATTGTTGCTAATTGTGTGTAGTGTCCAGCTGTTTGTGCTTGGAGGATGCGGAGTTTGGACAACAGTGTCGCTTTGTGTGGTGTGCCTCTGCAGGCATTGTGTTGTATGTTGGGCTTCGCCAGCGCTAAGGAGAGAAAAGCGTTTATAAAGGGCCTCAAGCAGCACTGCGTGGCGTTCGCTACAAATGCTGTGGACTGTGTGCTGCTACTGCGGCTGCTGCTGACGGTAGACGACACAAAACTGCTGGCTGAACAAATCCTTAAGGCAAGCCGGAACCGGTCTAGGGTTTAGCGTATAAGTTGTGTTCTGGGTTGGGGCTTAGAGCTTACGGTTTAGATAACGGCGTAGAACAACAGTGTTCTATTAGCTGCATGGCCTGCTGCTTGTACGTATACATGCAGTGGTCTCCCCGTACACAACCAGCATAAGCACCCAGCACACAGCTGTTGTGTCGTGTGCTTGTCTCCATTCTGTCCTTGACAAGTTACAGCACAGAAAGGCAGGCGAGTAATGTTTTTTTGTTGCACCTGCTGTTGTTGCTGCTGCTGTTGATTGGATGTCTTTGTTCTAAAGGAGATCCTTCCTAAGGTTTCCGAGATGGCCTTCGACCCCTACGGCCATCTCCTGTTGCTGCAGCTGCTGCAGCAGGAGGGGGTATGCAGGCAGCTGCCGACGCACTACCAGACTTTGCTTGCTTTGCCTTCTCCTACAAGGTGTGGTTCTGCTGTGTCCTGCTCTTCCCTGCAACATATCAAAGAGGCATACAGATCAGCCTTCTGTGTTGCTGCCTATGTTACTGCTGCGTTTCTTGTTGCTGCTGGTGCTGCACCCTCTCCCGTATCTCTTTTTTCTCTCTGCATGCTGCAGCCTGAAAGGCCTGCCGCAGCGGCTAGGAGAACTGCGCCCTTCTGTAGTTTCCGCTGTTTCTGCTGCTTTCATGTCCCTTCCATTTAAAGAAATAACGGGGGGGAAAAGCATTAAAGACCTGCTGACAGACAGCTGCGCATCCAAGGTGCTGCTCCAGCTGGCTCTGCTGCCGGAGGGTACGCTGGATCTATGGGTATACTGTGCATGTATTTGTATATATATATATATATA